GAAACTTCCACTCTCGAACAATTGAAAGACCACTCACCATAGAAACTAATCGGCTTCGTTAAGAAGCTGGGTTTATTTGGTCGAGTGTGAATAGGTGTGAGCCACAATAAACCCTTGCAGGTTGCGGTGGAGGGTCAAACAGACCCACTCACTTTGGACCTAACCTAACCTAACTGTAAAAGTTGATAAACCTGAAAAACATATTTGAAAATGAGAGTAACAGGTTTTAGCTTTCTACTTCTCTATCTTCTGAGAGGGCTTTTTCTTCCAGGGCTTCCTTCATTTCTTTGGAAGATTCTCACATTTTTGTGTATGAACCTTTCTTTTATGAAAACTAATCTGTCGTAAACATGTAGCCCTTCCAATATTCAAATATATTTGTAGTGATGTGTTACACAGGGGATTGCCACTAAAAGTTTGATTTGGAGATCAATAGGGAGAGTGGAAAGAGAATATCGAGTTTCGCTCACATGCTATTCCCAAAATATTCCCATAGGCAACTTTTGAATTTGATACTCTGAATGATGTGAATAAACAATGGATATTTCGAAAAACTAGTCGAATATATCAAATATTGTATTTATTTTGTTTTACACTTGTTAGTGCTTGATAGGTACTACTTAGATTTGCGTATTTACACATGAATTGTAAGGAAAGGAGTTAAATTCTGAAAAGTTTTTTATGATTCGATTTAGAAGCAACGTTTTCAAATCTTGCCTAAAAAGTCTGCGAGAAAAATAATTATCATAAGTATTATACATCTACGTTTCTGAAGAAACAACATCATGTTGATAAATTTTGTAATGATAGAAAATAAAATGATATTTCATGTTTCTGGCTAAATGCGCCGTACGGAAGCAAAAGCCAAGAAAATCTAGAGAGAGAGAGAGATCTTTCATGTTCTTCTTGTTTTATCATTATAACATTCTCTCTATGAAATAATATTTCTATCACTATTAAGCAGTACGTTATGAAATGAGCTTGATTACACTTTGAAACAAACTCCAAAAAAGTACCTAAATAACAAACAACGAAGATATTTTGGTTGAAACCAATAATTCTCAACAATATATTTTATTTGAAATAAACGAAAAAGTCACAATGTTGGAAACAGAATATCATAAGACAAAATCAACTTTTCTCGTTGTTCGAGTAATTACAGAAAAAAAAAACAATTTTCTAAAGTTGATTTTCATTCTCAAACCCAATATATCTTAATATCTTGAATACTTAGAAAGTAAAACAGTTTGAATACATATTTTAAAAAGTGGCACAATGATAACTTTTCAGTATCACAGTTTTATAAACAGAATTTTTTTACAAGGATTCCGATTTCACATCCAATACAAGCATTTCATTTTTTTCTAATAGCAACGTGCTTGATGTTCAATACTGAGTTTTTTAAAAATCGACAATGGGAAATTGTGTTTTGTTATGAAACACCCTGTGATACTTTACTTTGAAAGTATTCATATAGTTTCTGTTATTGTTATTTTATTACTTTATTGAAAAAACACAAATCATCAGTTCACACAAGACATAGTTCGTACTTATAGATATAGAATTGAAAAATTATACTTGTATTTTAGATTTTAAACACTTTATTAATAAAACAAATATGTAACGTTATTGTTTGGTGAAAATAAAGTTAAAAGATTCGACTAATAAATATCCTACGCTTCATCGAGACGTTCGACGAATGTCGATAAATACCTATCATTTCGATACAATTTAGATCCCCCTTTTATCAGTCCATATAGTTTACATCGATTGTATATATCTAAGCAAATGCAGAAGCGTACACCACATTTACACCAATAAACATGATTTCACATCAAAATTTTAATGAATATTTTCTCAGTGCCATCTCCAAATGGAAATGAAGCAATAATATACAGGCGTGGAATATAAATAGTAATTCTCATGAACAGTGATCAAACTTCATTTTTGCTTTCAAATAAACCAGTGGTATGTGGATGAATGATCTGCTATATACACATGGGGTTTAGATGATATTTGCTGCGAAAATAACTCTTCTTCATCGAACTTATGAACGGTGGTGTTTTAAGTGAAACATAATTTCAGAGATTCATTCAATTCTTCAAATTTGAAAGATTTCTCAACTTTACCTCAAGACTTTTGACATTTTTTGATTGTCTAACGATTCTGAATAAGAAAGAAAAATGTAATATCACACAAAAATGACAGGCAAACCATTAAAAATATGGTATATCTCATTTTTTCAAAAGCCAATGGCTTCTGGCAAATTTAGATTGTATTAATTGAAAAAAAAAAACTGATATTCAGTTATCAATTCCACAATGATATGAGATAAACCAAAATTCAGGACAAATGCGTATTTGGGAAAGCAAACTAAAATAATGGTGATGAGGTCGATGACGAAGATGAAAATGTTTCATATATTAGAAAACAAATGAAGTGTTCACGCTGTTATAATTAACCTGTTATAGAAGTTCCTTCTATCCGAAATGCTTTGAAGAAGTTGATGTGGTAGATATGATAGAAAACGTAGTAAACAGATGAGACCAGAAAAATTCAGAGCAAGCCCCTTAATTGAACAGTATTTGCTATTATCTGGTAGCTAATCGAAGACGTTGTTCTTCTATATCAACATTTGTCATAATACTTTCTTTCGAGAGTCGAAAATTTGCAGATTTTTCTGTAATAATGACAATTTGGAGATAAAATACCTTTGTTGAAAATTGTCAAAAAATATCATAAAAAATCATTATCATTATCAATTACTATTTGATTATTATTGCTGATTAAGGAAAAAGATAAGACAATTAGGTACCAGATTAACCAAATATACTTTCTCTGTTACTTCTGGATTAATCAGAAAATATGCTTCGAGGGACACAGAATATGTCATCTGACCGACTGGGATGCTTTCAAGGAGCATCTTAGGAAGGGATTATAAAGTCTACACACCTGAGTTCCAACCTGCAGGTTATTTTTCCGACTTCAACGGCATAGCCTCCTCAGCTACCTAACCTAGGGAGAGTCATGATTATTCGTAATCCTGTCATCCATGTAATGTGGCAGAATTAACATATTTTCAATTGAACAAATTCTTGCAAGAAAAATATCTGGTCAAAGGTGGTTTCAAACTCAGAGCTCTAGGGTCAAACTGTTATTACTGAATTAAATAAAAGTAGTCACTCATAGGTAATATATAGAGCATTCTATTTAAAACGAGCCACCTTGTTGTTTTTGTTAATTCTTGAGAAGCAGTGGATTATACGCTTCGAGAACGGACTGAAATAGTGAGTTTGTACTATCAGAATGGAAATAGTGCTAGAGCTGCTGCCCGTATGTTCAATGATAATCATCCAGGAAGAAATGTTCGATACAAATACGTTACGGAATTATCGAACAAATTTATGGAAACAGGAATTCAGGAATTGTGAACGATGAAGCTATTTGTACTGCGGTTTTAGGGCACGTTGGACTAATGGAAAATTCGCAATATCAAGAATCAGGAATCAGTCTTACAAATTTTTTCAGGATGCTTCATAAGTAGAAATTTCATCCATATAGGATTAAACTAGTTCATGAATTGACTGAAGATAATTTCGATAGACGTATCGAGTTTTGTGAAAGTATCACTGAACGGTTAACCTTGCATCAGAATTTCTTGTATAAAATTTGTTTTTCGTATATCTGTACGTTTAGTTTGAATGGAGAGGTGAATTAGCAAAATTATCGACATTGACGTGATACGAATCCTCATTTATATCGTCAAGTTCATACCCAATGACCTCAAAAACTGAATGTTTGGGCAGCAATTTTAGGTGACCACATCATAGGACCATTTTTTATCAATGATAATTTGACTAGTGATAAATATTTGGATATGCTGGAGAATCGAATAATACCGTGCATCAATGGGGTAATTGAGAAGGATATAAATTCATTCGAAAACGAAATAGTTTTTCAGCAGGATGGTGCACCTTCCTATTATGCAGCTCCATTGCGACAATTTTTGGATGATCATTTTTCTGGTCGCTGGATTGGCAGAAGAGGTCCTACAGAATGGCCACCAAGGTCTACGGATCTCACTCCTGTAGATTTCTTTCTATGGGATCATTTGAAGTCTAAAGTGTATGAGATAGAATGGAATGCAACGGAAGCTCGTTTGTACCATTGTATGGAAGTTGGTGGAAACGTTTTTGAACATTTACTATAGAAATTTTTTTTCTTCTCATTGTCCAATCATCAGATTTTGATTCAAGAATTAATAAAAAATCTGATTCATTGATTCCATATTTGTCTCTACAACGAATATTTCAAAATGTGGCCTTCTGTATAATTGTTGACCTGTTTTTTTATTTTTCCTACAAATCATTGTTTCAAAAGTTGGTCAGGATAGTTCGTTTTCAACTCAAATAATTTGTAGCTCTCGAAGCATAAGCTTCGTAACATATGTTTTATACTTTGTTGAAATCTGCTCATCATAGAGCATCTGATAATGCGAAACCATAGAGGGTGATCCATTTAAAAAATTGGTGACATGCTCTGGGGGTGCGATAGGGGAAGTAACATCAAATGTGAATATGTCAAAATGTGTCTCGCTGTATACTATTGTTGACGTGTTTTTTTATTTTTCCTGAAAATCATTGTACCAAAAGTTATTCAGGATGGTCCGATTTAAATGGAATGCACTGTATATTAGAATACTGACGCAGTGGTAGTGGGCCGACTCACGATTGAAAGGTCATGAGTTCGATTCCCACCTCGACCAGATATCTTTCTCGAGAGAACTTATCTAGTTGTAGTTGGGATGATACTGCAACGTTACATGTCTCATAGACTGCGAATGGCTAAGATGCTCCCTAGGTGGCTCGGGAAGTTATGACCATTGCCTACCCAGACCAGGAGGATAATGACCAAGCAGTTATTGCCGTTGACACTCAACAAAAGTTAATATAAGACGAAGTTACTGCTAATCTGACAATTACTCGGAAGAACTAAGAGGAATTCTTGAAGAAAACTGGAAGAATTCACGGTATTAGATACTTATATAACTATTTCAGGAACTTATACCTACTGAGCATTCTGAGTATAAGGGACAGTAAGGAACCCCAACGTTAGAATAATATTTGAGAAAAGTTTCAGAATCCAATAAAATCGAACATTCTATAGATATTTTCAAATTATTGAAATCAACCCGGAATAATGAATTTTTTTTTTATCTTATTACAATGAGACCTTGCAATAATGATATAATCACTGAATAGGTTATAAAAATCATGTTTCATTTTCTGCTAAATTATGTAAGTATAAATGAGTGTTGGATGTTTATGCCAATAAATGAAAACTTTTTACGAATTAATTAGCCTTATTGATCCATTGGATTCATCCACTGTTCAGAAATCGTTCCAGAATGAAAAATTTGCATTTGAAAGAAAGTTACCCTTTCATAGAGGATGTTTTTCCACCATCTTGCAGCGATCAATACAGCGATTGATAACAAAGATAAACTTACATCCCTTAATGCTCGGAAGCTCGGAAAACAATCGAACTAAAGAGGGAAGATGCCCCAGAGTGGAGCGTATTATTAGTTTTTGACTAGTGTTGACCCTAATCGAAATAGGGTTGAGTAAGACGTCATGGAAATAACTAATGACGATGACATAGACGTTACTGTCAGTGCCAAGAGTAATGGAATCATTTGTAGATTCATGAGAAAGACAAACATGAATCAAAGCTGTTGAAAAAAGGAAGGATTCAATGTAAGTAAGGTGGTGTGTTTCAAATCCATAACAATGCCCAAATGAGCGTGGCAAACAACTTTTATTAGTTTGTCGGTAATGCATCTGTGTGATATTCTGATCGATCAAAGGAAGATTCAAGTGTCATGGTAAAATTTCCAGAACCAGAGATCTGAACTGCTTAAAATGAATCTCACTATTTTTCAAGTAGATATACATATGAGGAAACTTGTAGATAATGGTCCCATTGACAACAAGAAACTATTGAAGCTCGCTGGAAATCTAGCATCTATGATACCGATTACGATTATGTTAAAAACTTCATTTCGTGGTGCTCTAATGCAGAAAAACCTTTTGATCCGTTTACAATTTTGACATTTTTGAAAGGAAATAGAGATTAATTATCAGGATAAGTTTTCATGAAATGAAAATTGTTATTAGATGATTTCTAAGTATTATTGAATTATTTGCACGGAAATCATCAACAACGTATTTATTGAACTCTACACATCTGGTCAGTTTTTTAATAGAATGAATTGATTGTTGAGGTTAGTAGAGAATTCTTATTGAAAATTGTTTTTGGAATTGAATGAATCTCTCAAAGTCGAGATGGAAATGAAAAATATAAAGTACCGTTATTTTTAAGTGACACACCCTGTACATTTTCACAACAAATATGTGGGCGTCCGTGCTGATTGACATTTATATTGCAACTAGCCATTAGCAAAAACGACAATTGTCTTACCTTTTATATCGTCGTCTTCCAATGTCGTAGAACTGTCAGTAGATTCCTTAACTTGAGATCCTTCTCCTTTCTTCACTATTATACTGCGACCTAAAAAGTTAGTGAGAATATTAGTTGGAGGCAGACAATTTTGATGGAAAGAAATCGAAAAATTTCAAAAACAAAAATAAGCCAATTCATTTTCTGCTTCAGAAATAATGGAAAAATAAACCAAAACTCTCCAATTGGATTGTCACAGTTGGAAATGATGGAAAACTAGTGACTCAATACCAAATTGAACTCGGACAAAATCGGCACAGTATGACTAATTTATTTCATTTCTGGCACTGTCGGTAAGTGGACCCAAACGTTTAAAACATACCTAATTGAATGCAAATATTTGAAACATTTCTTTAAAACATCAAGTCTCACGTAAATAGTATTGAGTCACTTTCTGAAATCGAAACGTGGAAAAATAAGCCTTAATTTATGTGTGGTGCGTGAAGTGATGAGGTGGTGAAAGAAACAGTATTGAAATCATATGTAGTGATGGTGTTTTCAAAAAAATTAGAGGAAAACGCATGCTTATGAAGCCACATATTACATATCCCAACGTAACCCTTATTTTCATTCAGTTTCTCAAGATCAAATTGCACTGACATCAAAAGCAACTGTTTTTTCTTGGATATCCAATCATAAAGTTTGAATCCATCGTGTAAAACTGACTTCAGTCTCTTTGAAAACTTTGCCATCTTTATGGATGTCACTTGTATATGTCATTTGCAAATTTGGACGAACATTCGAATATTTGCAACCACGAATTTATTCAAATTATCGTGACATATGATATAGTTGACTGTGACAAATGACAAATGATGATATGCTGTTCTTATGATAATGTATAATTGATACATTTCATACATTTTAATTTCGTGAAGATGTTCTTTATTAAAATTTTACGATGAGTCATTGAAATTTGAAAATTCATATAAAGCTACAAAAATCTGAATGAAAAGCTAGGTTACGTTCAAATAGCGAAAATGATATGTAGTGGTCGGTTGATGCAGGATGCAGTGTTCTTACCACATTCTGGTTGCATCAAGGTGAAGTGAAGTGAGGTAGGGTGACGCGAACAAGTCCGCCACAACCAACAAAACAAAAGTTACCAACTACCCAATGCTCTATTCTAAATTATTATGCACAGCTACTAGAAGTATAGCATGTTCATGTAGAAGGAAGACCTCCATTAACAAACTCATACAAAAATTAGTACATGATTCCAAATGACTTCAAGCAAGAGTTTTTATTACTATCTAGGTTTGAAAGAGTTTTTTTAAATCGCTATAACAGTTTTTACGCCCCATTCCAACATTCATCCTCGCATCCATGGAAGAAGAAAACGAAGGTGAGATACCATTTTTTGATGTACCACAAAAAAAAACTGACGGAAAACTAGGTCATACAGTTTATCGCAAACCTAATTCTACTGATCGGCAGGATTTGTGAACCACATCAAATTGAAGACGAACTTCGCCATCTGGACCAAGCTCTTTATGCCAATGGTTTCATAGCGCTAGGAAGCAAACGTGATCTTCATCCTTGAATAAGTAATGCTTCAACTTTGACCACGACAGCCGCCAGTGGTAGGCATAGTCTTCTGTTTGCCTTACGTAAACAAAGTCACGGAGTGCTTCGGATAACTATTTGAACATCACAACATTGTAACCATTTTCAAGCCAACTAATAAGTTACGCAATACCTACTATCAGATCGACCAATAGAAAAAAACTCTTGACATCCGCCGGTGTGACAGGATTCCCTGTTCCTGTGGCTCAGTTCACATCGGGACTACCAAACACCAGCATATAAGAACACAAGAGTAACTACCACCTCATGCAACTGGAGAAATCCACAGTTGTCCTAATAGAAACATACCACGTAATAAAATATGAAGAAACTGCTATCCAGTTATCATGCACGACCTCATAGGCCGGCCATTGAAGACTACAACAGTTGAAATAACTATAACAATTTCAATAGAAAAGATGAAAGTATACGGGATAACAGAACGTGGTATCTAGTACTCAAGAAACGGACTAGAATATAACTCTGATGGACAAAAACCACAGCTGGGATATAGAAAATTGACTGGGTTTGTAAAAACACTGACTTTGGTTTCTGTGAGTGCAAGCAAGAATGTTGGTGCACTGAATTTATATTTGAGTTGAGTCATCTGATGTAGAAATCGATTTTGAAGTCGCTAGTGGGCCTCTTAACACTTGCAGTTACCATGCTATTTCCCTGTGGAATGATGTTAGGAAGACTCTGTCGACTGTCAAAAATAGTGGTTTTTGAATAACTTCCGCAGCCTTTGCCTGAAGATCTAATTGGGGAGCTATTTTACCGGAGTATTTTTCCCTAGGAGCGCCATCATCCATTTTTTCCTCATATTCCCACCCTTGAGATCGGAAACCGCGGCACAGCAACGAAACGTTAGCTACAAAGTCCTTAAATGATTCACAATTACTGATTTTTGGCAGTACTTCTCACTGAGGATCTTGATATTTTGGACCTTTTGTATTCTCTGAAGATATCAATGTCTTTTGAATCTCCAGCTAGTATCTTCTTACAATTATTTTCTTTTTTTCCCTTTGTAAGAAAACCTTCACTTGTTGCTTGTCGATGTTTGAGAAATTCGTAACTGAACTGATTTCCATCCATATTTAACGTTTTACCTATGACTTTTGCTTCTTTCAGTAGATAATCTTCAATAATCAGATCCAGAAATATAAACAGATCACTGCCCTTAGTTCTTTAGCCCTGTTCAAAACTTCTGTTTCTATTCATTATCGAGAAATTCCACGGTGACAGGACAGGACGTCTTCGACCTCAAATTTTTTAATATATATGTTGAGTTTATTCCGGAATATTAACAATTGTGCTGAGTTAATATCAGTTTCACTTTCTTCCAACCCGTATTTTATTGTACTACCTTTCACTTGTTTGCATCCTAACTTGTATCAGAAAATTTGTTTTTTTCAAATTAACTTTGTTACCGCTATTTTCACAGTACTTTTTTACACTTTTATATTACAAACATCATCAATATTCATTAGTTATTTGGGTTGTGATTTCAAGCATAACATTGTAGCAAATAATTTACTCAAAAGACTCTTGAATGTCATCGCTAAACGTTTTTTCTACCGTTTGTTAATAGAGGTCAAGTATAATGTGTATGTGTGGTGGTGGGTGTTGAGCAAAATAAAAAAAGTTCTAGTTTTATTTACAAAGAAAGTAGAATTTTAAATAATATATTTTTATCAAGGAATCTTTTTAGTTTTATATACAGTTGAAGTTTATTGAAAGTAGAAGATGGTTTCTAGACAGTGGAGGTATTTTGTATCTTCAAACTACTGATAATAATTTCTATATTTTCACATGCTGTGATGCTTTTTTTATAAAATAAAACAATGATAATAACAAAAGAATCTTCACAACTGGAAATTTTCATTCAATATTTGGATTAAATGTTGATAAAAAAATACCAATAACGTGGATTTGAGGTGTAAAGTTCAGGAAGTATTTTCACAAACTCGAAATATGTATTATGTATATCAAAAAAAATTCATGTACCTGTATGTTGAATGAGAAATAAGCAAAAGAATGTACTTAACTATTTTTGTCGTAAAATTCAAAGGAAGCCTTCAGCGCTCTATAATAACTTTAACTACACTAAAAATACTTCAATACTTCAATACACTTATCAGCACAAAGAGAACTCTGAAAATATTTACCTCTAACTATAGGGTTGATTTTTGAAAACAAAAAGTAATATATTAGAATTCTGTATAAAATATATTCGAAATGTGGATACCACAAAATCAAAAATAAATTGAAGAAAACCAAGAACAACTAATTATGAAAAAACCTCCTGAAACAATAGATAACTATGTGAGGTAATATAATACAAAAGAAAACTAATTCATAATAACTGAGTGACTACTATTATCTGTGTTGGCAAATAAAAAGTGTTTTAGTGATTCAGTGTATAATATGCTAGTGCAGATTTTTGGGCCTGATAAATTGGAAGTAAAGAAAGGGGTTAATTCATTATTTATTATCAAGTGATATTAGCACAGGCTCTTATCATTTACTTATTGATAGAGAAATTTCTCCTTTTCAATAATGTAATGCCACATCAGTTTGCTATAAATTTACAAAGAGGAACACGCATAATAATCCGGAAAAAAATCAAGAACTTTGTAGTGTTCACAATTAGTTCCACACACATAACATTTAGACCTCGTGTCAATTTCTAAACCCCCGTTCTACACAATATCTCCATTATGTTTGCAATTATGTCAGTAAAACTCGTACTAATTTAGAGAAAAAAATAAACATTTATGAATATTTAGAATGAAATAATAATTTTTCAATATCAAATCAAATCAAAGAATTATATCGTGCTGCTGCTGATAAAACAAAAAATCCACTCATTTCCGATGATATACCAAGAAACCAAAATTTGCCGATTTCACTTTGAATTTTTCAAATAATGCAGGAAGTAATTATAAGCAGTTCTTCCAAAAAGGTTAATTAATCTCTAACTCTCAACTGAAAGACAAAAGCTGATTTTCAAATTATAGATTGAGTTGGAAATAATTATACTCATCAGTGGCATTGGATTAATGTAAAGGTGAAGTATCTCACTATCATAAGCTATCCCAAATTAGAAAATTATAAGAATTATTTCCATGTGAAGGCTTACTAGGATCACTAAATTTGAAATAACAATTGAAATTATCAATATCCACAACATTGTTTCACAGATAATNTCTGTCGGTGGTTATCCAACCACAGACAAACCTACCAAATGGAATCAATTTCAGCTTTTTGAAGATTTTCGAAGATATCACAGATTTGAAATAAGGGACATAGCGGGTGCGGCGGTACCGACGGTACCGGACGGGGGTCGGCGGCGCATGCCTATAAATAGCACACACTGAACGCTCTGAAAAGAGATACATGCACTGCGAGAGAAAATCGACTTTCGGTTGAGACTTTGCTATAAATATCGACTCATCGTTTTCTTTCTTAACCTCAGTTAATAACCAGTTTGGCGATACGCTAAATTCCGAAAAATCGACCAAAGTCCGGATTTTCGAGACAAATACCTTCATTTCCGAATAGTGGGCGTTATGATAATATTTTACCGGCTGAGCCGGTCCGGGTCTGGACTATCTTATGGGCGATAAGCTTGAGTCACCACTCTTGCACAGGTCCGTTCTCGGATTGTCCCAAAGCTTTTCCTGCGGTGCCTCATTACTATCAATATAAATCTATTGAAAATACTTTTCCCTCGCCAGAACAAAAACATGTCTCTCGACGCTCATTTCACTAACCAAGTTAACATCATGATGAGAAGTAAGATGTGATGAAAAAGTGTTTTCAATAGATTCATTTCACGCCAAAGATTCGAAATTCTTCTTATCAAACTCCGAGAGCAAATTCATCATTCTCTCAACTCGCGATTTGCCAATCAAGTTAGAATTATGAAACTAAAACTTGTGTTATCTGATCATGCTATCTTGCTTAGTAAAACTCGCGTTGAGAAACTGCTTTTTGTTTTAGTGTGATAACATTGTTCTCAAATAGATTAATTTTACGCCAGAGGTTTCAATTCTACCTAATTCTACGTATCATGTGGAATGATTGGCGAATAATTTGTATTATAAATATATTCGTATTCCTTATTGTATTGTAATGTTTTCTGAGAGACAGAACAGAAAGGGAGGGCTCTACTTTGTATTGAGAGAGAAGTTCAAAAAGTATTTTTCGTTGGGCCTCAAAATAATCCAGAAAGGCCTGTACGTTTTTTTATCGATACTTACGCAAATCCATGGGTGTTTCAAAGCTTCTGCTGCTGTGATCCTTTTCGCAGGGTTGACCGTAAGCATTTGGTTGATGAGATTCTTCGCTTCTGGTGTCACTGTGTCCCATTCTGGACTGGGATACTGAGAAAACATCCAAATGTAAGTTATAACATGTTATATCAAAATTTGTTTTGAATTTAATATAATGTTTATGACTTGAAATGTTTAACATTTCAAATGTAGCATAATTATTTATTCAAAAGAAACTTCGAAATCGATATACCGGGCGTGTGAAAATTAAATTCAATTGTTGAAATATTTACATCTTCAAATTATTTGGAAACTTTTTGTTATCGCCAGAAATGTTTTTAATGTCTTTATTAGTATTATTTACGTTAATTCCAAGTACTAAGCAAAGCCTATCTTGATAGATAAAAAAAGTAATTAAGAGAAGTCTTTTTGAAATCAACTTTTTTTAGATACTGTAAATTGACAATATTGAATAGTTTTTCGAATACTAATTTGATCAATATTTCAAACAAGAACATACTTCAAACCATGCTTTTGCTAGGGTTCCAATTTGTAGGTTGTGTCTTTTTTGTATTGTTTTCAACTTTTTAATTGTTTGCTATTATTCATGTATGAGCCACAAAAGCAAGGAAAAAATAAGAAGCACGTGGTCTGTATTACTCCCTCTTTATATTATTGTAAGTACAAGACCTGTGTGTAGTACAAAACGTACGTACTTATTTTGGTTTTGAATGGTTTCACTGATAATGAAGATTTTGAATCAGACGACATACTAGAGGAAGCTTCTATCAACCCAAAGAAACAAGCATTGCCCGCCTATTATACAGTCTGACACACTTAAGATCAAGGCATCCTTGTATTTTAGTTATTTTTGATAGCAGATATGTTATTATCGGTACAGGCATAGACCTTCATGGGCCGCACTTTTCGCAATACTTAGCCCGAGTGAAATCCTCAAACCCAGCCAACTGCGAACCCGCGAAAAGGGCATATTCTCGATATTTTGCTTCGCGTTGGAGATACCGAAATAATTTATTAAAAAAAGTTGCTTGGAAATCGATTTCGACCCTACATACCAAATTTCAACCCGACATTCTGAATTTGATTTTTTTTGTAATTTTCATGTCCAAATCCGATTTTCGATTATTAGAAATTCGAAATAAGAAGCTACGAAAGAAATAAATGACAAATAATGAAGCGAATTCAAAATGAAATGAAACAAAACTTATATTGGATGTCAGTTCCAAATATTGTCTCTCTCAACTGGCCCGTCCTCAATTCTGATATATTTTTCAATTCTGTTTTATTATTACTGAAATAGTTCTGAAATACCTACTCATTTCACGACAGACAAATTTGCCACCAATCATATTCAACAGGAAATTGAAAAATTCCTCATATTTGGAGACTTCAATAGCAAAATGTNCTCAGTTCCTGAATAAATTCAACAAGTGAACTGTTCTTCCACTACACCCTAAAAATACCTCTCTATTGAATTTTCTTTAAATAATACAAAAACAAAGAAAGAATATACAAATTTGTCCACACTACGACAAGTAAGTTTACAGAAGAAGGAGCAAAACGATGTGAGGTTCTGAAATCATATCACTGACGTGTATTGAATAAATAACTAAATAGATTATACCTACTTGAATTTTTAGAACCCAGCTGTACGTAATTCGAGTAAAATATCATTCATCACATGGCAAATTTGATAACTGAAAAACCTGCCGAAAAATTCAGTTTTAAAAGAAGGTGGAGTAAGGGTTCCCCTGAACCTGATATTGACGTTATGAACATCCATTCGAAAAGAAATTTTTCTGTGAAGATAGGCAGGCTTTTTGGTGAGAATAATTTTATGGAATAGGTTGGCGGCATACAAGATTCTTCTTTCATTCATATTTAACCAATAGGCATCTTTGAGCTTACGAGAGATTATCTGATAACGTATTTTCCATGAATAAGTCTCAAGCACGAGTTTTGAACTTTTTGAATTATACGTTTATACTGTTCACTCAAATGTGGTCCATAGACAGTATTAGCATAGTTAAAATGTGATAAAACTAGTGCTTCACATAATACTAATTTCAATTTCAGTGAAAGATACGGCCTAACTCAATATATCAGGGTCAAAATCAATTGCTAAGCAACTTTTTTAAATAACTTATTTGCCTTTTTCGCGGGCTAAGTAGGTATTGCGAAAAGTTGCGGCCCGTGAAGATCTCCGCCTGTACCAAAAATCAAATATCTGCTTTCATAAATGACTACAATACAGGGGTGTCTTGATCATGAGTGTGTCACACCGTAGATCAATCAGTCTTGAAAATTAAAAATATGTGAAGAATATTTCTTTAAATACAAAAAAACAAACAAATATAACTCATAACGATCGTGTAACATTATATTATCCCAACATATGGATGTTGTTATAGCAAATTTTTTAATCAAGCCAAAATTTGATTTCATATGTATGGCTTGAGTTACCGTTCATCAAAGGGAAACTTAAGCCACCTCAATTTGATTTTTTTGATTCTGAAAACATATTATTTTGAACTTTTCGTATATGTATTTCAGTGGTAGGTAGGTCACTATATTGTAGGGTACTGTATTGGCCTGAGATTTCAATAGCTTCCTAACTTCATTTCTGTTTTGACTCTAGTGGATTGCACCAGGAATAGTTGATTTTTGATTCATTCAGCGTTTAGGCCTAACAGGTCCGCACGAGTACCTACCTGCGTTTTGTTTTTTTGATTTGTAATTGTCTTATTGCTGATCCAATTTCCATATATTCCAAAGGTTAAATTTTGAATTACTCAACAGAAAGTGGAGTATATAATTCAATAAATGTTACATGGATTCTGAGAAAGAACAAGGTCGCCTTCAGTGTTTGAAGCAAGTGAAGGTGACGATAGCTTCATTGACTACAAATCAGATTTTCATAAGGAATTTCTGGAGGAAAGGTCAATTGAAAGTGATACGGAACAAGTCGCAGACCTGTCTGATGATGAAAATGTCGAATTCCGTCATTAATTGGAAAGGACGGTGAGAGAGTTAGGAAGAAACTTTTAATAAACTAAGTACCGAACATTTAGCACTGGGTGATGACCATTTTTTCATAAATATAATTGTCGAAAATATACAAAACTCATTTGACCAATCTTTGCCCCTATTCCGATTCTTTAGATGGCGTTTGCGTGTTTGAGGTTCATGCCAAAAATGTATTGTTCAGTTATGTTTTGTTTCCAAGATGGTTGGATAATTGTTTTCTGACAGAATCTACATAAATAAAATTCAATTCACGTATGCCACCTTTAGGTTTTTCAATTAACATAATATATTATTGAGATACGAGACCCGTCGCGAGTAATAACGACGGGCATATTCGCGCGAGTAGTAGAATGTTAAAAATTGAAAGTGGCCTAAGTAACCCTCATTTTTCGTAATAATTCTTTATTCGAATACTCACATCGTATGCTCCAGCTTTAATCTGTGCATATAACCTATGTTGATCCTCATCCCAGAATGGAGGATAACCCACGAGGAGAATGTATAAAATCACTCCGCACGCCCATATGTCTACTGGTTTTCCGTAAGGTTCCTTTTTCAGTACCTCCGGTGAAAGGTAACCTGGTGTACCCGCAAATCCGAACCATGCCTGTTGCTCTCCCTGTACTTCTATCGCCAGACCATAACTGTATTCATTCAAGCCGACAATNATCGATATTTCTATTTTTCAGACTCTCCCATAATTCTGTTCTTGGTACCTTGTCGAAAGCTTTTTCTAGGTCTATGAATGCCAAATATATATTTTGGTTTTCTGATCTTCTCTTTTCTATTATTTGTTTTATTGTGAAGATGTGGTCTTGTGTGCTTCTTCCGGGCCTGAACCCACTTTGTGGTTCTGAGAGTTGTGACTCTATTTTATTCCTGAGTTTGTTGTTAATTATTCTTTCTATTATTTTTGTTATGGTATTCAGTAGCGTAATCCCTCTATAATTATTGTAATTCAGAATATACTGGTTCAAAATACTGAAACAACCTCGATTTTCTTTGTAAAAAATGAAGATATCTGAAATTTCCATAAAATGAATTTGGTTAACTCCAATTTTCAACTATAAAAATCATATGAGTTTTTTTCGTCAGATACAGAATTTAGGAGTTAAAAGCCTCAAATTTATTATTCAACTTGGACTCGTTGGATTCATATATGAATGATGAAGATAGCATTTTTTATTAACTTTGTACCTACTTCAATAACTAATAGAATCTCCTAAAATATTGAAGAAAGAAACATCGAATTCGAAAAAATCGTTTTTTGATATCCTTTCGAATTACAATAATGATACTAAAAAATGTTTAATACTGTTCAATTCCTATATAATATGAAATAAAATTTGCTGGAGTATAAGATGATTTCTTACCTTGAGATCTCTGTGTACTACGCCATTCTGATGACAGTGGTTGACAGATTCTAAAATTTGTTGTATACAATGTGAAGCGTCTGCTTCTGAATAAAATTCTCTTGCTACAATATCTTCGAATAATTCACCTCCTGTTACCCTAAAACAAAAAAAATATTTTACAGGTCGAAAGAGTGCGATATTGACATATGAGAAAAACTGTATAAATTTTGTTTGATAGATCAAATACACCATCAAGTAGTTTTTTCATAGTTGTGACAAATTGGTTTGAATTTTTTTTTAGGAAGTAGCAACCTTGATTTAGTTTTGTTAGTAATTCAGTTTGATATGTTACTAATACGTAATTCTATTAAAAATGTAATGAACTCTTATTTCTCTGGTAATCGACATACAGTCCCTACCAAAACATCAAAATATGGACAACTTACAGCCCAAATGCAATAGTAAAATTCACTTTTTTCACTATATGGAAAGAAGTCTAAATTTGTAAATTTTATTTATTTCAGAAGTGAAAAAACTTCAGGTATTTTCAAAAGTATCAAAGCCTTCGA